ACTTTGTATTTTTTTCTCACTATCTATCTTTCTCTTTCTCATTCTTAAATCGACTCAAAAACCATGGCAGATTCTCTTTTCGTTACGGAAATCTCAATTGGGCGAACGATATCTGTATTTGTTTCACAAGCTAAATGTGAATGTTTAATACCGCTCGCGCCTTTTCTTATCGGATTAGTTGCGAGTCGTTTCACGCTTCGAAATGATGAAATGGCTACTTTTGGGTAAATTAAAAATAAATTTTCCAAATTGCAAATAATTCATGTTGATAAATTTTTGGCTCATTGCGAAATGTCCCACCAAATCATATAAATGTGTGAAATAAATGGAAGTGTATACACTTCCGCTATAGCGACCAACACTCATGAATAAAGTATGAAAGAAGATGAGGATTAGCGGCAAAGAGTAGATTAGAGCGTGATCTGTTGCCGTAGTTAATAAATTATCATATTTCTGTTCGGTTGTGCGTCATTTTACTCTTTGCTACTTCAGAACAAATGAATTTGTCTTTGTTCCAAATTGTTCTGCAAGCCACTTGAGCTCATGATTTTTTGTTGTTTCTGCCCGTTCCGTGCAATGAGCGGCAAAAACATCGACGGAAAGGACAGGCCGGAATAGAATGCCACAGAATAAGAAGGAAAAGGAAGCAGAGGCAACAAAAAAAAAAACAAGTGAGAAATAAAAATAGTCGGATGAGAAAACATGAACAACTATATGACGAAAACAATAGTCTAATTTAGCCTAGCATTTATGTGTAACATGAAAAGTGAACCGTCGTCGAGCATGGTGTGAAATACCAATGCTCATTCGCGTTGATAGGCCATGAGTTGTGTCCGTTCAAATCAATTTCTCCGTACGTAAATGATTTTCACGTTTATTGGTTCGCAAAAACGGAATCATAGGTGAAAAAATGCCGCATTCGAATAATTGTCACCGTCGACGTCGAATAAATCTGAACGGGCATTTGAATGCGGCACACGCGATAACGACAAGAAATGTGTTAGTGGGTGGCAAAGTTACTAGAAACATATGGCGAATGTACATCATTTGTTTACACATTTCTAAATTTACATCACATCACATTAGTTGGCTTTTTAATTTTTTTCTTTCCTTTCCTTTCTGCCTTTCGGCCAAAAATTCTTTCCTAATGTACGTAAAACTAAACGAGTAGGATGTCGAAAACGAAACATTTTTTTTTCTCTTTTTTATCATCATCATCGTGTGTATTATACATATGAATACACTTTTGTTATTTTATTCTCTTGTTCACATTTTTCTTGCTAGCTGATATTCATATGCTGACAATTAAAATACTACGAGAAATTCGTTGTTTTTAATTTATGTGAAAAATGACCCGATGGCTAAAGCATAATATTTTTGTGTCTGTGTGTATACTATTAGCGGCCAAGATAGCCCCAGCTAGTGGGCATATACCAAACATAAATGACCGCTCTTTTGTGAACGACTGGTGTGAGACTATCGTATATTTTATGGCACGTTATTTGGCACATTCCGATGCATGTTAATGGTAATAAAGAAATCAATTCGCGGTATTTATTGAGCTGGGCTATTTGTATTTTTCGGTGTTTTATCGATAATAAAATACATACTAATGTTGAAAACGGAACACAAACAACAATATCATTTGTACCCCAAATGAACCCTCCCCATTCACATTATGTTCTATATCATCACGCTTGCCAATATACACTAATTATACGCTCAATTCTTTCAACCCAGAAACCACCTACATTTATGCACACCATATAGAACTCTATGCGTGTGTTTGTGTAAAGACATTGCGAAATGTCCATCGCATGATTTTCTAGCTAACAACAACAACAACAACAACAAAAAGCAGGGGGAAAAACGTCCTTTTATCCGTTCATCACTTTCCTTCTCTAGCACTCTTTGTCGTTCGTTTGCAAAGTGTTGTTGTACTCTTAATGGCTCCTTTTATTATCGTATGCAACTCCTCTGTACCATCTATGCATCGTAATTTCAATATATTGTTTAATCGTGATGTAGATAGAACTTCGTGGCGAAACACATGCACCGAAAAGCACACGATGGATTGACACAGCCTAATATCAGCTGAAGTGTTACCACTTGAATTGGCAACGCCAAGCATAAATTGTGAAACCCATAAAAATTCACAATCCAGAACGATTGTACTACTTACCACTCTCTGACGAAGCTTATTTCCTTCTGTTTGTTTGCTTTTTCCGTTCGTTTTTCCCGATTTTTCATTGAATTCACATGCGACAAGAATTTAGATCTCATAAAAACCTTTTCGCCGAAAACACCTGTTACCCTGCCTTTCATCAAACTACATACGAAACTTCTGAGGCGAACGAGAGAGAGAGAGAGAGAGAGAGAGAGAGAGAGAGAGAGAGAGAGAGAGAGAGAGAGAGAGAGAAAACTGCGATCCATCCAACAATTGAAATATGCGCTGATGCCGAGATGTGTTGTGGCAAGTCACATTATGCGAAAGAATCAAGCGGAACAAACGAAAAAAAAACGTTAGTTTCATTTTCATGCTTCCCCATTCATTCGTTTTTGACATTTTCATTATAATTTTTCCACGAAACACATCCATTTATATATGAATAATCAGTTTCAGAACTGTTGTAATATTTCGAACGAATGAACAAAAAGAGATTTCCAATTCAAAAATCATCCTTTCAATAGGGGACACCATGAAAAATCGTGTGCAATCAGCCAATCGCTTCACCTCGACCCCATGATAAATTTAATAAGTAAAATTTGAATTGGAAATTGACGATAATTACGGTTTGATTCATATCAAACGCTTGAAACGGGAACGAATGAAGACAAACGCGTGAAATTTTCCGCAACATTGTTTCAGCGTCAATTTAAAATTGAATGGTTTAAAAATTATAATAATTTTTTTTTTCATTCGTTTATTCGTCCGTTCGTTCAGTCGTTCCATTCTAGAGTAAAATCAAATTTTCCGTATTTTAGACTCTGATGTATGGTGGCCGTACCCGTAACTCATGAGCGGCACAGCAAAATTTATTCGAAAAAAATAACATGATATAAATTCATCGAAATTCGTCGAGATATATTCGAAGGGAATATTAACGCACAATATAATATAGGAATTGAAAAATGTTAATTGCCGAATGTTCATCAGAGTTGAGGCGAAACAGACACACACACACACACACACACACACACACACACACACACACACACATACAACGAGATAGATAGAGATATGCAATGGGCCCAACCGATATGCTTGCTCTGTAGATGTGGTCATGCTATGCCTGTGTATGCCTTCGTGCATGGGTACATATTTACTCTGTGTGAGATGAGATGTGCTGTGCGATACATACCGTCGAAAGAGATTAAGCTCAATGAAGTGGTATACAACACATTCATTAGCACAAATTTGACTGCTTTTCAACAGCAACTTCGTTTTCATTATGTTTCGCCCAGCAGCAACTACATAAACTTCGTAGAAATTATTGACGTTTGATGTGCGCATGCCGGAGAGTACGAAAACAGTCTTGGTGAAATTTAATCTGAAAGCATCACACGACCATCTATCGATCCGACCCGACCAGCGGCAACCGCTTCGCATCGCTGGGAAAACGCAACCAAATATGGCATACATTTGGATTGGAATTTACAAGCTTTTATGTTGCAAAAGGCCACACAGTGCGACCGTCCATCGAACCGTTTTAATGTGCGCCCGCATTCCCTATCAAAATCATTATCATGAACGCATACACATAAACATGGTTGAAACGCTGATCACGTACACATCTGCACCAAAACCAAAATACAGTCGCACCGAAAGATGCAAAACGAGTTAACTGTTACAGGGAAAAAGGCGAAGAAAAACAACGAAAGAAAGAGATGTTAAGTAAACAAACGACAATAAATATGTGAGGACATGCACACTTGTTTAGAATTTACGGAACAATTGACATGGAAAATCAGCATTATCCGAGAAGAAAATCTTCTAATGGAATTGAATCGGGGGAATTCTTAGTCGAAAACTTTGCATAGATGATAGAGAACGTGCTTTACGATGCATCTTTCAAGCATTTTGTTTTCACCCGATTCATTCGAGCATACAGATCGTGGATCATTTGGGAAATGCTGTGAGGGCAAATGTATTCTATTTATTTTCTTTTTAGCTTATTCTTTCTATTCGTCATCGTCATCATCATCGTCGTCGTCGTCGTCGTCTTCGATTTCAACGCCGTTTGCCGTTGTCGCATTTGCAATGCAATCCGATTTTCTCAATGAGAGTTTTCCCATCGTTTGTGCCAATACGTTCGCAACCGAACAACATGCTCTCTGTCTTTAATGTTCTTAACTCGGTGTCTCTTTGGTGGTGCGAATGGAAAAGAAAATTAAAATTAAATATTGTCTAGCAAGTGTCTGAATTGTACTTATATTTCCAATATTGAAAATGAAATGAAATGAAATGAAAACATGCGAAGTGAATATACACCACATCACACAAAGATCGAACGAGAAAACCAACATACACACACACAAACACACACTCCAGAGGATTTTCATTCGTTTCAATCTCTGACATACACACGCACCTACTGTCTCGCTCTCACACAACCACATACACAGGTCCACAGCGTATATATTGAGATAAACACACACACACGGATGGAACACACGGATACATGGCAACAAATCTCACTTGCCAATATTCACAGATGCAGAAGTGAAAATGTGCACGAGAGCAGCGAGAACGAGACGAGTTGCGAGAGCAAACGAGTGAGTGAGTGAGCAAGCGAGAAAGATAGAAAGAGAGAGCGAAAACGCAATAGAAAACGGCGCAGCATTTTCAATTCGGAGTTCTCAAACTCAGCTTCGACTCCGGCACGAATCGTTTTATACGAACAGACTAACGAACGAGATTCGTTCGGCTCTTTTCCTTTCGTTCACATGATAGAGAGAAAAAATAATATACAGTTTTCCTACCGTGAGTAGATATACTAGAGACATTTTTCACGAATTCTCCTAGTGTCTGAATAGAGTTGGTAATCGAATGCACACATTATACATAGCGCATTTTTTTATTTTAATCATTATAGATCACGAAAAATTCTTAAGCATACATACATGCAATAGTACACACAATATTTTTTTAGACAGGAGAAAAAAAATTATGGTAAAAATACAAATAAAGTAATAATAGCATAATGTAAAAGAGTACATGTCGAGAGAAAAAAAATAGCAGCATATTTATTTGAAATCGCATGATTCTCAAGTTGAATTTACAATTTATTCTCGAATGAATCTGCAGTGAAGTGAATAAAAACAGTGAGCACGAGTTCGATGTTTTTTTTTCTTTCTGTCTTCTCCACCACAATCTTCTAAAATAATCACAACGATGAATGCAAAAGAAGAGTTCAACAAAGGATAGAGAAAAAATGGTCCAGTTCATCATAAGCTCTCGAATAAAACCAAAATGTTGGTGTTGCATTTTTGAGCGATAGTTTTGTTGTTTTTCATATTTTACATGTCGTCGTATACATGAATGAAATTGTGATGCTTTGAAACAAAGTACAACAACTATCGACAATGGACCAGTGTGTTTGAGTGTTTCTTTAGTTTTTCTCTGAAGATAAACTTTCGATCCATTTTGTGGTGCAGTTATGAGTTGCGTAAATGCGACAAGAAAGCAACGAAAAAGAAAACAAACAAACAAACAAACAAAATGAATAAAAATATAAGAAACCGTCATCATCACAGATGATGCATATTTTACGCGAAACTTTTATTGCATTGTAATTGAAGTTGTGGTAGTCCGAATAGTCCATGGAAAAAAAAGAAGAACGTAGCAGCATCCAGTATCACAACGAATCCAAACTAACTTTGTTACAACTCACAGTGAGCATATATAGTTCACACCTGTAGTGTAGTTGCCATATATTTTCTGTTTTGTTGAGAAAAAAATATGTTTGAATCCAGTTGCAATATTTCATTGGACGACAGAACAGAATAAAGGAAAAGCAAAGCAACGAAACAAAATACGGTCAAAAAAAAGTCAACGAAATGAAATGACTGTGAAAGAAGAAGAAAAGACAGAAATAAAGGAAAAAAAACGGAATGGTTTGTTATTTTCACGATAGGAAAGGCAGCAAGCGAAATAAATAAACAGCAGGAAAAAAAAAGTATTTTTGTAAAATATGCACACCCACATAGAAAGATGACTTTGCCTTTGTCGAAGCAATTTTCCATGGTTTTTGTTATCTTTCGCCATTACTTTTATTTCTTTTTTTTATCGCTTTCTATACTCTTATATACGAAGTTCTTGAAGTCTCTCTCGTGCGCACTCTATCTCTTTCTCGTTCTCGCGCTCGCTCACTCGATAGCGACATGGCGAGAAGATGATTTTCTTCTTTCTCTGAACACAACGAATGAAATAAAACAAAACGAAATGAGAATAAATATTGAGGTAGATTTCAATTTTCCACCTGACTACGGTAATCCCGTGTGCCATTCATTCGTGCTTCGATTTGCATGAGATGTGCTTAGTGTGGAGATTTTCGTCATTGTTGTTATTGCTCAAATGTGTTTGTGTATGCGCTACCGCGCCATTTAATGTGTACAAATCCCAAATGCTGTGACAAATGATAATTGTTTGTTCCAAACGATCAAACGTGAAAAATGAACAATAAAAACAATGAAAACAATCAAGATCAAGAAGTGATGCTGGTTACACGAGAGCAATACACAGATAGCGAGAGAGGGAGAGCGCGAAGAGAAAAAGCTCAAGCCCGTTCCCGCGGTGATTTTATCAATCTATACAAATATATTTGTATATTGGCATAATGTCGATGTGTCAACGAAGCAACCGAACAATCAACCAACCATCCAACCACCCGACCAACGTAAATGGATTTTGAGGGCCATGTACATACGCCCGCCTGCATGCCTTTTTCTCCTCCTCTTCCTCCCATCATCATCGTCATCGTCATCGTTATTGTCAGACAACAGATACTAATTTCATAATTTATTGACTGTAAATAAATGCGGACCGTTATGATTTCGAGTACTTGAATGATTTCAGAATTGAATTATAATTACTATGCCAGCAATAAACTCTTTAAACGACTAGTTCAAAAGCGCTGGATGTTAATTAATGGGTTCATTTATTTATAGTTAAATTGTCAAAATTGAGAGATATATTTTTGCATTGGCAACGATGACAAAAGGCAATGGCTGCGCCGTGATGGTGGTGGTGATGATAGTGGTGGTGGGGTGGCAAAAACAACGACAACGACAAATATCCTCTCATCAAACGGCCGGATACCATGTAAATATTTATTTTAATTTGCGAGAACATGTTCATGCCTCGATCCTCGACTTGCAAAGCCTATGGAAATGCAAACACTTGGCAACATTTACTCAACCAATTCTACCGAGAGAAAGGTTTTTTGTTTACATATCCATAATTGATACTAAACGCACATTGCCAACATTTCCTGTGCGGTGGTCACATAAATTATCGCTGAAAGCACACTCTGGATTTGATTAAGCAATTCACCTGACTGTATTCAGTTTTTCATGACACTTTGGGAAACTTTCAATTTTCGCTTCGATGCGGTTGAGGTTGTGATAGTGATGGTATGTGTGTGCGTGAGTTTATTGTTACTGCCTTCTGTTGCAAAGCAGTAAAATTACGAAAGTTGTCCCCCACATTAAAAACTATTTCCGCTTCGAAGCAACAAAATACAGCCGGCTAGATTGTGAGAGATTCCAGAATGATTTTACTGCAATTTTCAAACAAAAAACAACTCTAATGGTTCCCACCTATAAAACAACTTGATACATAGCGCACACATCTGTTACCTGTTGTCGCAACCAACTGGCAATGCGAACATCTTACAACGGAACTCAAGACAATTTAAAGTACTGTAGGGGGACCACTGTTCTTTAATTCATAATGAAGCATTAGCAAACATGATACTTGACGGGCCAGAAAGACGAAAAACAACACAACAAAACACATTTCTGCTCCCAGAAGATGATGCTTTGACATGGAAGAGAGAGAGAGAGAGAGAGAGAGAGAGAGGGAGAGAGTGAATGAGCGTGGGGAGGGACTCAACTTAAAACTGGCTAAACTTTGTTTACGAGAGCGCTTCCTCATTATCATCGCCGAGTAGTTAATACATTAAGATTGGCATTGAATCGCTTGTCGGTGGCTGCGGTGCCATTGGCATCAATACATTAAGCTTGTTACGCAACAGCACCATCAAATATACACAAGAACCGAAGAACAAAGTTTGTTTTTTATGTTGGATTTTTCGCTATTCGTTTGTCAGAGGCGCGAACGATTCATTTTTGGAGCTGTATCTGTGTAAGGGGGCAAAGTTAATGCAAGGTTTATGTCTTAAAATTGTGTGTCCGATCTGATTTTGCATGTTGATTTGATGACATAGAACAAAAAACATTCCGGCTGATTGTTCGTATGATGGTTTGCATGATATGAAAACAGTTTAGTTTTGAGTGGTTCTCTCTCTCTCTCTCTCTCTCTCTCTCTCTCTCTCTCTTCATCACTCACTCTCACTCTCGGTGTTGTCGAATCCATTTAGTAACTCTTGACCAAACAAAGGCACAAAAGAGAGATGCGAAAGAGGAAAAAAAAAGACGACGAAGAAAATTCGGATCATGTGTATATACACAAACAATTATATAAATTACACTCAAGAGAACTAAAGCCCAATGAAACACACTACAATGAGCAAGTAAACAATGCTAATAAAAATTTATATAACGCTCGGTCAATCTGAATAAAGCATGTGTCTCTCTATTCATGTTGCTGACGGTGGTGGTGGTGGTACTGGTGCTGGTGCTGCTGCTGATGATGATAATGTTGGTTGTTGGTTGTTGGATGCTGGCACATTTGGATTCTTTACATAATTCCATGTCTGTGGATGTGCTTGTATTTGTGTATAGAATGCGCGAGTGCGCGTACAACAAATACACGAATATACATCCAGCCATTGCATTACATAAACACCAATTTGGAGAATATACTTCCACAGAAATGGACCATTCATTGATTTATTTAATTTAGTTTCGTTTCGGTTTTTTTTCTCTCGTTCTCCTATTTTTCTTTTTCTCTCTTCCATTTTTTTTCGTTCGGTTTGGTGATATTGTATGTATGTTGGATTGTGGACTCTTTTTGGTGTGAAATTGAAGTTCGTTGTGGCTTTTCTTTGCGAATCTTTCAAAGAATCTAACATGAAAACCGAAAGAGAGAGAGAGAGAGAACGCTTCACGAACTCGGAATTTTAAATAGGTCATTTACCATAACACACATTCAGGGATAATTTACTTTGTCGTTGCGAAGTCAAACCATTCTGTACAAGGGATGGATTACACTTTGGGGCATACACATTTATGTATGTGTATATTGTGTTGTGTATGCTCTCTTCTTTCACTGTTTTTTTTTCTTCTTCTTCTTCTTCTTCTTCTTCTTCTTCTTCTTCTTCTTCTGTTGTATGTAACCGTACTCTAAGTGTATCTTAATCTAAACTTAAATTCTCGAGTAAACAACACCATTTTTTGTGTGTTGGTTTTGGTTTCGGTCGCTTTTATTTTGGCTCAGATACGATGTGAGATAGAGATGGATGGATGGATGAATGGGGTAGATAGGGAGAGAAAAGATAGAAATAGACAATGTCTAATAGACATGTTCTTTGAATGTAGTGTATTTAGTTATCCTTCATATTTACTCGAATACAACCGTTCAAAATAGACCAAGTTGACAGAGAATTCGACCAAATTATGATATGACTGCTAAATTCCAACAGCAACGTACTCATTTATTACCAACATTAGATCAAACCACATATACATTTTATGTGTATGCCTGCATACCCATTTGTTCACTTCTTTTTTTTCTTCGTCTCTCTGTCCATTCCAGATAAACAGACATCAATCTTCGTAATTTGTTCGTTTACCACTTCGTTCAAGGAAAAGCACATCAACTTTATGCGAATTACCCCTAAATAATAATAATATTGATAACAACAATAAAAATGATGTGAAATTTGTAAAAGTGTACCTAAAATACGATGCAAAATTTAGTAAAACTAAGACGATAAAACTGAAAACTAAAACACAAAAGTTTATTTCTTCTTCTGAAAATGACGGCAACAATTGTTATGCGAGTGAGATTTAGCTGCGATGATACACACAAATATATAACTTGATAAGATTTGCTCAAAAATTTTATTATTTCATACAAACACTTTTTTCTTCTACATATATAGTGAACAAACACTCATTATACGCAATTATTTTATACGCTACAAGCAACTACAACAACAAAAACTATTTACATTTTAAAAGAATGAATTTCCTGTACATATACAAAACAGTATGAAATAATTGGCATCCATAAAAAATCATACAAATTCATAAAAAACACTTCAAAGAGACAGAAAGCAAGCAAGTTTGAAAAAGGACAGCATACGAAAGAAGAAAAAAAGAACAAAATAAAAATAACAATCGCAGTCCTTAATATTTTACGTAAATAAATGGTTGTGTACTTATGTACATTGTACAATAGAGTGAGAACGATATAGTTATTAGTAGAAAAAAAAAATCGGAGCATTGAGGATGCATCGCAAAATTCACGATAAAATTAGCCACCACAATTTATCCAATATGCAACGGCGACGAAGTGGGATTGAGTAAAAACGTGATTTCACCCTTGTCATGAATCGGGTTTTTACGGTTTGAATTCGAACATTTCGGTCGGTCACAATGCTCAATTCAATAAAGAACTAAACAAAAAAGTGTTGATAAACCGCTTTCGAAAAAAAAAACCATCGACGACAACGACAGCGACGACGACGACGACGACGACGAGTGAATTCAATGTGAAAATGAGAATGGAGTTCGTTCATCACATGGCCACAGTTAAAATGACAATGAACAGTTTGGTGTGCATTAAATAGACGAACGAGAGACAGAGAGAAAGAGTGTGGCAGAGTAATATAGGCGATTTATCGATTGAAATTTAAAACAATTACTCAATTTAATCACTTGACAAAAGCATTTACGCATAGCTGTAGGCACCGCAATGGCAGTGGTGGTGGTGACGATGACGATGATGATGATGAGGGCGATGTCGATGCCAATTATGATGATAGATGCTGCACACAACAGTAATTATATCATCAACAACGCCGAATTGGCGAATTGCATCTAGAATATATACCATCAATATGGACTAAATGCCGAATCAATAACAATGTGTTTGATTTTCCAATTTTTCTCAAATGGTTGTGAACATTTTAATTTTAACTCGTGAGATCAACAACTACTACAATAACAAAGCCCACAAAACCAAAAGACTAAGCTACGACATGTAATAAAATCATAATCCATGTTTACGAATTAAAATAAAATTAAAAAAAGAGAAAAAGAGAGAGAGAGAGAGAGAAAGAGAAAAACTGCAACAAAATCAACAAACACACAAAACGATACGCAATATTACGTATAAAACTAATTTCTCCATCGATAATCATTTCTTAATCATTCGTCATTTATTTAAGCCAATCAACATAAGAAAAATTACACTTAACCAAGGAAAAAAAACAATTTAAACAACAACAAAAAGTATATATACATATATAAAATTTATTGATAACCAACTTAAATAAAACTACCGTCCTCTTTTTAAAACAAATTAAAAGAAAAAAAACACACACACACTATTAACTGCGAATGAGGCAATTTCAAAATAAAACATTTCATATTTAAACTATTAAACAAAACAGATAAAAAAAGAATTTTTAACCAAATATCGACGTGTTTATCTTTGCTCATTGATCTGTAGAAAGATTTATTTACAATTATTTTTTGTATATGTATACACAACATAAATGGATATAAACTGAACAGTGAGAAAGAGAGACCGAAGAAACATTGGCAGCAGGAGCCAAAAGTAATCAAATCAAAAGCTAGCTAGCTGTTAGAGCGTTTTTTTCCTATCCTTTGTTTTTCTTTTCCATTTCCTTTTCAATCGCAACGATATATTCACTTGAATAATAAATCTTTGATCATTGCGTGCGCGGTTAAATCCAAACGCAAATATAAAAAGAAAAAAAAACAAATCAAGTAGCCAAAGTTTTAAACGGGGAATCATATAAGTTGTGGTTGGCACACAGCTTGAAGTGTTGAAAATCAAAAGCAAAACCCAAAAAAGGGTGGTTTTGCCAGAGAATAAAAAAAAAGAAGGATAAACTGTAAAAAGGACGTGAATCGAAAAGAAAAACGAACGCGATACAACCGTAAACAATGTACAAATAAGTGACGGAGTACGAGTGAGATTTAAATTGGACGAACCTTTTTTTTCTGCTTCGGTTGACAAGTGTGAACTTTGACATAAAATCCGCCACCGTCAATTATATCGCACATATACACACAAAACACCCACAAAACACATAAACTAATCTCGAATTATCATTTCGTGATCCATCAAAGTGGCAGACAACTATTCGATCACAGCAATCTGAAAGCCGTTCATTGCAATTCAGATAATAAATAGCACCTTGATTGACAACTATACTGCTCAGGACGCACCAAATAAAGGACTTAATTCAATAGGTTAGCTTCGTCTCCTTTTTTTTCGTGTGATCCCGTTCGTTTTCTCCTGTGCGAAGCAAGTTTTACCAGCCAAGTTCTACTCCAAAGGTATGTATGTACACGTCTCAATAAATTTCGTAAATGATATATGTATATTTTCGTTGTTGTTGGCACAAAGCATTTTTCTTCTTCTTCTTCTTCATCGCTCGTATTTTTTGCAATTCGAAGTGACAAATGGCGCCGTATTCATAGCGCTTTCTAAACATTATATAGATACCCACTAGTGTTCCGTTTGTGTGTGCGTGCGTGTGTGCGCGCGTTGTGAAAAGTCTTGAAAATGAAAATGAAAAAGATCCCGCATCATCTATTATGTACAATTGCACATTCATTTGATTCCATCCATTTATCCTATGGTGCATACGGAAATTGGAGCGAATTTTTTTTTTCTTCTTCCTTTCATAGGCCCAAAATGGGCCGGGGTGGTGGAGAGAGTGGGAGCAAAAAAGCAAACAAAAAATAAACGATGTTTAAATCTGTCCCCATGTAAAGGCAACCCAATTCAATATTTAAAACTCGAACATCGGCATAAACGTTACGGCTTTGATCGATGCGTATGAAATGCAAATGAAATGTCAATTACACTGATATTCACAATTCACAGCCAGCTCACAATTCACTCAATGATACCAGTTTTATTCACATTCTTCGCCCGTTCAGCAGCTATGTGTGTGTTCTACGCTACTTTTTTTCTGTTTCTCTCTATTTCTCTCCCTTTGTTTTGGCTCGTCTCTATGCTAAATAGCATGATGGTCGATGTAAAATGTGTCCTTTTGTTTCAATAGTTTTAAATATTGAACAGCCATTCAAATGGAAAACATTCTCCACAAATATCTGAGAGAATAAGCGAAGAATGGAGCAATAAGCTTTGAGGAACAAGAGCCAGGAGCTTTTATGTGAATTATGGAAAATACGTTGGGATGAAGTCATCTTTTTGTAATGGTCGGCAACACTTTACATACATAGGTACCAATGGTCGTGTCAAAATATGGCTGAAAGTTGAATGTCATACGATGATTACCATTTTTTCATGACAAACCATTTGCTCGATATTATTTAAGAAAATTGTAAGTTTTTCATTTACATTTTACGATTACGAATTTTCATCGTCTCAAACGAAATTCGAGAGAGAGAGAGGGAGAGAGAGCGAGAGAGAGAGAGAGAGAGAGAGAGAGAGAGAGAGAGAGAGAGCGCTAACAGAAAAATTCACTCGGCATGCTTTTAAAACGAAAACGAAAAATTCAAAAGGGCAATGGTGAGTCAACGACATAGCATATGCAGACGCATGTCATACATTTTGATGCCTACATTTTTTGTGTCGAGATTGTTGTGGTGCTCTTTTTGTCATTCTCTCGCTCTGTCGTTGCATTTTTCTTTAATCTGTTCACTTCATTTTACTCGACGACTCGACTCGACTCGACTCGACTCGACTCGACTATACTATGCGTACAAACGTTGATTTTATGAGGCGCTACGTTGATGTCCCAAAATGAATGCGATCTCAGCCAAAATATACATACATTAAACATGAGAGCTAATAAGAGCAGCAAGAAAAAAGAAGATAGACTGAGAAACCGAACGGAAAGCAGTGAAAAAAAGATAAATAAAATGACGAGAAAGAAAAAAAACGGACCGAAAAAGAAACACAAAGAGCAAACATTACGAAAATTGCGATGAAAACAAAATATAACTTAAATTTTGATAATTCGCCAAGTCTGCCATCATATGTTATTTAACTTAGTCAAATGTTTGTAGGTTCCCGTCGATTTCAATCTATCTGTAGCTTCTATTACATACATCGTGAGTTCATCGCAGGCGCGCAGACTACATATTTTCTTATGTACCGCAGAAAAAGAAAAAAAAAACTTTTTTGCATGAGGCACCAATTTGTCATGAGTCGACATATCTTGACTTTCTTTGCGTAGAAAATTTGCTATTAAGAAAAATCTGGAAGAAAAAACTATTTAAGTCCATTGGATTTGTTTTGTAAATTTCGAATGTCGCATAATATTCAAGGGAATAAAGTCGGAGCGACTAATTTTATTATTCGAAGCAGAAAAAAGAAAGTTTGTTGCGAGATTCGTATCAAAGGGAGCTTTTTCATAAAAGCAAATCTCAAATGATGCACAAACTGAACAACACCTGGCACATGGGCACGATTGTGATTCACCATGCACATAATATAAACACATAGGCAGAGAGAGAGAGAGAGAGAGAGAGAGAGAGAGAGAGAAACCGAGACAAAGCTCAACACTTTTGTATTAAACGAGCGCATATGCTTGATAATAAATGTCAGAAATCAAATAAATAAAAATAATTCAATAGTTAAAAGAGGCGCGATAAATGTATTCGCGCAACAACAATAACAAAATACGGCACCAACAATACCGCGCACTAAAATCAAAACCAGCGAGAGAAAAAACTGTGAGAGACATTTATACTAATTGTCACCTAAAATATGTAGTCGTCATTAACATGCTTTCGGTTCTTTGCGTAATACCAATATTCGAAACGAATGTGTTTTTTTTGTTGCTTGTTTTCGCACAGAGCCGCAGTCGAGAGCATGTGTGTATTGTGTATTTATGGCTCGATGGTACATACATGTATGTAATATGAAAAACCAAGGACTGATTGGAAAATGTTCAGCAGCGAGCAGAGAGTGCGAGCAGAGTGTGATTTTTACGACTCTTGTGGGAAGCTCACGCCAAATGTGTGTATTCGTGTACTTAGTGCATTTTGGGTGGAGAGCAAAAACAAGAACGAGAGAGAGAGAGAGAGAGAGAGAGAGAGAGAGAGAGAGAGAGAAATCACAATGGGAATTTTACTATGATTTTTCGAGATAAAACCAAATTTATTGCATGCTGAAACATAATAAAGATTTCTAAATCAATGCAATTTCATGGTTTCAAGTGGAAATTTTAAACCAACAAACCCCCTTCCCCTGCTCAAAGAAATAAAAACAATTATTTTTCCCACACCATTTATCGTCTGCTGTTCAAACAAGCAACCATTATATATCGCAGAATATTGCATGTAGTCATGTATGGACATGAAACTCCAAGCCGAATGAATATGTGTGTGCGTGTGTGTCTATTCGTGTGCGCCGAGACGTTAAGAACAGTGGCATTCAAGTGGGGACAGTTTAACGTAATTGACACATAACACAATTTGTTCGATTGTGTTTCTTTAATGTCCTGGGATGGATTTTAATCACTTTTCGAAACGAGAAATGCACATATGTAGCTATACTGTCATACTCTCCCACTGCGAGATTAAAATTACGCTTAACGAACAGTCTTTTTTTTATCAAATTAACGCATACTTCATCTATCCATCTATCCATATGTATATATTTTGTATAAAACTGACAGCAAAATTTAGTTTAACCAAATTAAAACGAAATTGTTTTTGTTCCAAGATATGCACAGCTTGATAGCTACGCTTAAAATTGACAACACGAGCATAGCATCACATAGCCAGTATATAATGTATGTACCATATATACCACAATATGGAATGTTGAGAAAACTACACTGGCTTCATTAGCATTCAAATCGCAGGTACAAAACTCTGATGAGCCTTCATCGGCTTAGCATTCTGCATAGATAATAGAATGAAACACTACATTTATTCGAAATGTTTCGGAGAAGTTTCGGTTAGCATATATAATTTTGAATAATTTTCACAGGAGTTTGGGTTCATTGTCATAATATTTCCTTCTCTCCATTTCTCTGTCGCTCTCGCCCTCTTCTTTGAACTCAGAGTCGTACAATTTATTTTTATTTGCATTGTATTAAATAAATGCGATTTAGAATTTGATTCTTTGACATAAGTACTAAATCCGACCATTGAAAATATATTTATAACTGACATTTTTTTTCTCCTTATTCTTCTCGTTTTGCATGTTTGTTGTTGTCAGTGAAGTGGGGTTGTTTCAGCTGAGCGATGAAAAAAGAAAATATCAATTGACAATAATATTGCGTTATTGATACGACAATGATATTTATTCGTTGAGCGGAAGCACATAAAAACATCGGATTCTTGTTCGATGATTCAATTCAATCGCCTTTTTTTCTCTGTCGCTCACTCTTCAGAGATCCGCATTGCCCAACCATAAAAAGCGCATTACACAGAGATAAATTACACGAAGGAGAAAAAAAAACGAAAACAATCAAAATAAATGGGCAATAATAATTAAATTTCATATTGTCTGGCAATATATGTCAAACATCATACAGTTGTGGATGTTTTGGGCATGTGTTTCGCGAAAATTTACCGCATTTTCATCAATGGTACGAAGCATTTGGGCGCTTGATGTGTATTTGCTCGCCAAAGCATATGAACATTGCCGTAGATATGAACAGACGTAAACATTGGGGATACTACATTTAATTGTGTGTTTTGTTTTTCTTCTCTGGTTTCAAGTCAAAAACGCGAAATGTGTCTGCGTTTCGTTTTATTTCCGGAGTGTACATGTGTGACGGACAATACGTCTAAATGCACATTTAATTTCGTTTTTTTTTCTGACTCATTTTACAGTCTCATTGGTTTTGGTACTTGGTATTTGTGTGAAAAATACGACAACGATGAGGGAAAAAAATCAATTGTGAAATCCTATAAGCCTATAAATGAAACGATTTGATGGCAAAAAATGAGAACACCACAGATAGATATTATATTAGGGCCGTAACGGAAATTCAGTTTGAGGCCTCTCACTCCGAGATTCGATACATTTTCGTGTACTTTGCGAATTTATGGGCGAGTATCGTCGAAATGAAGCAGAAACAACAACCAAAAGTATTATTGACATGAAATGTAGTTAAATGAAAAAAACAACCGACAGAAAGAAGAAAAAAAACATCAAGTGAAACCGAGAGAAACTGAAACGCAACAATAACGTCGAGAGAGAGAGAGAGAGAGAGAGAGAGAGAGAGAGAGAGAGAGAGAGAGAAGTCTCACAACACAAACCATCCGCATGAAACATAAAACACAAAGAAAAATCTAGTAAACCGCAAGAAAACAGAAAATGAAACTATTTTCGTATATATTTATAAACTTTGAAATATGTTACCCAAAAGTAATTAACAAGGAAATGTGGGCCAGGGTTCTGCCATATGTAAACGTCTGCGTCTTTTTACACAAATGTTCGCCTTTCTATGCTCATTTATTTCTGTTGTGTTGTTTTTTTTTCTCTGCGCTCATTCACTCACTCATTCGCTCGCTCTCGCTGACTCGTCGGCTCTCTCATCGCTCACAAATTTTCAGCTGTTCTTTTCTTCCCTCTCTTTACGTGTACGAAAAACAATCGAATTTCATTTCATGCATATTTTTTGTTTTAATTTCATGATTCGGTCGGACGTTTTGCACATTACTTAATAAAATCGCATTTCTTCAAAAAGGAAAAAAAAACCGCTACCTTTATACATTTGGAGTGCCACGTTCAGTTGGGGATTCGCGCAAAACATGCCTTTTTCGCCTACCGCTTTTCACTTTTCTACTTTACAGTGGTTGGTGTGACGCGCCGAGCATTGTGAAAGATTTATGCATAATTTTGTATGCGATAATTAAAACCTATCTCCAATAGAATAAAGGGCGATGTGGATGTGCGCGTGCCATGGGCTCAATTGAAACAGCATGACATTTTAAAAGGTGTAAGCTTTGGACATTTTATTTGTCTTTCGCCCGTGTGTCCCTTGTTTGGAAAAGTTTGAAAGTTATAATTTTGCCGTGAAATGTGGAAAGGGCGTTCATTATATCTGAATGCGGCCGAAAAATGAGTGAGATTTCAATCAAAAAACCCGCACGCGCATCCCAACATTTATATGACGCGATGTACGTGCATTCACCATCAGTCAAATGGTACACATTTTTGTCATTCCTGCCTGATTGATTTTAGTCGTAATGACGATACGGTGGCATTTTGCGACCGACAACGATGTCGATTGACAACAAAACACAGCACAGCACAGGCATTTTTATTCAATAAGCCCATTTCATAACGTGTGAAAACAATGGCAAAAGTAGAGAACAAAAAATTTCGACGATAAACTGATTTTCATTTCATTCATTCAATAGGAGCAGTAGCACCTTTTTTAGCAGCAAGACCATTTGGATGTTGTATATGGTCTTTGAAACTAATAAAAAAAAAAATATCTAAGCCAGTAAAAATGTTCTACTTGTAAAACAGTGTGGAAATGGCTTGTCAAAAAAAGAGAGACGGAGCCAAACGCTTCACACAGCGCATTGGACGAAATGAAGCGTACTGTTTTTGATAGAAATGCTGGAAAATAATAATAAACCAAAGTGGCATTAATTCTCCGTTTGAAAGCATTCCTCAAGTCCGCTTATAGACGTATTTCAAGTGATTCCGAGTGTTGTGGAATTTTTTTTTCTGCATTTTATAATAATTCGAGGCATTTTCATATTTACGTTTACTTTCGACGCGTATATACATCTATATTTATATACGGACGTATCCCTATTCTATGTATTTATATGTATGTATATTGTATATGCATGAAAAGATGGTTTTTGTAAAACTGCCGTCAGTCTAAGAACAATGTTATGTACGATGCCAACGTTGACACAGAGAGACGGGAGTGAAAAAAAAACGATATTGAACCGAAGCAAAAGAGAGAAAAAAATAGATCTCAAAGATGAAAAAAAAACCCATTCAGCTGTATTGAAGCTTTAAGCACTGCCATTGCTCGGCTGGCTCGGCTCTGTGTGCTCTATGTCGTGTAAAATATCAATAGTCTGTGAATAAATTGTCTATGAAAATTGTTCATCTGATCAAGTTTTTCACATTAACTTTGATTTCTATTATGCCCATGTCCAACCATGAGCTCAATGAGCGCATATAAGACATCAAGAAAACATCATGTATGTGGCTGCTTTGCTCCCTCTATCCCCATCCACCACATCGCAGCTAAACCGAAAACTTGGCATTTTTCTATCCATTCACATACTTAATAAAAAAAAAATATATCGCTATAGATTGGATGCGGAAAAAAAGAAGGATGAAAAACAAAATAAACATAAAATAAAACAAAACAATTGTGTATTCAATAAGCCTTGATTCAGTCATGAAATCTAGAATATCCAGATTATCGTATGATGTTGCATGTTTTTGTGTGTGTGTGTTTTTTTCGTTCTCTCTTCACTCTCTCGCGTTCTTTTTCTCACTCCTCCGCTCCCTCATTTTCTCTGTTTGTGTGTGTTTACTTGGTTTATTGTCACCATTTAAACAGTCTGGCAAATGAAAATGAAAAGCGAGTGGTAGGGCTGTTTTTCCTCCAACAACAAAGTGATACATAAAACAACGCATATATAGACATACACACACACAAACACGTACACACAATGAAAAACATCTCCAACGCATAAAAATAACATCCACTTAGCGAATGCTTTGAAAGCGAAACAGCGAAGAATAAAAATCTCTATCTACAGTTATGTTTGTTACGTTGGGCTGCTGCTCGGAAAGGAAAAAAATAAAGAAAGAGAGAGAGAGAGAGTGAGGGAAAAAAACTTACTCGCTTCAGTGACACGATTGAACAAGTATGAATATTTTCCATATATTGTTTAGCTCGTGAGATATTTTCATATTTTCCCATTTCAACGATTTGTGATTTATATGGATTGTAATGAACGCAGCTCAATTTCGATCTAGAATATTTACACTGATTTATTGTGTACAATAAAATGAAATTGTTAGCTGGAATTGATGCGAAATCTTTTTCTCACGACGTTTTAATCAGTTCGGGGTGAGGGAGATGAAAACTATATTCACCAAATCAACGAAAATGTGTTTGTTTGTTTCGTTTCTTCATAGTCGTCGTCGTCGTCGTCGTTGTTTTTGTCATTGTTGTCGTTTTCCTCCCCTTTGATTTGTGTCATTTAACTGCTTTTTCTTCCTAAACACAGGCTATAACTTTCGAATGATTTGGAAGTTCAATTCATTTTTAAGTGATTTGCTTCGAATGTGAACTGGTCTCGTGTACAGTAGAGTTCCCCTATGGAACCAAAGAGAAAAGAAAAACTATCAATAAATTTTGGCGGGTCACAGCCAGAGTGGCGCTGTTTGTCACATTCTCTCGTTCCCATACATATAACAGCACATACATCCATTTTATGACACAGTTTTTAGATGAAACATTTTTTTCATTCTTATTATCTTATCATTTTCAGACGGATACCTTCAACGACGTAATCTTTCAATGGCTGCAGTAAATTCGGTAAGTGTGTGATATTCGATAGATACGAGTGGTGTGTCAAAAACAATATCCAATTACTCATTATTCACATGAATAGTCGGGGGATTTTGGAATGTAGTCGAAAGAAGAGAAGAAAAAAAATTAAAAGAAAAACAGAGATGCTTGTCGATTAGTTAGTCTCATGTGAATTTAAACTTTTTGCCAAAGTTTCGGTCTAAAATTTATGTTTGTCATATCGGTTTTTTTTTTTCGCTTTCTCTCTTCTGTTTGGTTTAGGTTCAAGGAGGCCTTCGACTTCCTTTAGCTGGTATCGCATCGCCGAGGCTTTTGATGTGTAGCGCATCGATGGGTGCAGAAGGTTCGGTAACACTTCAATTACGAGAGGCAGTCGAAGCGCCCGATTCAAGTGGACAATCTGACACAACCGCACTGACTATCGGCTATCCAGAGACAGATCTTTTAGCTGACATACAAGGATCAATACAGGCTACAGGTAAATCATAATCTTTGACCCAATATCCTAGCTCCGGCACCGCTCTGTGTGTGTGTGTCACTATTACTACCCATCAGCAGCAAATGTGCAGGCTAAAGAAAGAAAAAAAAACGGAGAAAAAATAACAAAAGCTTTTATCAATATTGAACACAGAAACAGTGGAAAACCGTGAACGTAGAACAGAACACCGTCTGTTGTCATATATTCATTTTCGACACATAATTCATTATTACTATGTGTGTGTGTGGGGTGCTTTTATGTGTACATGTGCAAAAATGAATAGCTGATATATTCTCTGAAAGCGCACAAAACTTCTGCAAAACGGTCTCACTCTACCGACCAACCGCCCGTCCGCTCGTTTGCTCTCGTTCTCTCGTTCGTAATATGAGTGTGAAATGTTTGTGTGCATTAAGCATAAACGATTTCTGTATGCAAATAACTGAAGAGTCATTTAGAGAGCTCTTTGGGGCTTTATTTCAGCGATTTTTATGCGAATCCTATGCAGATGTCCATATCTTCAATTTATTGTGTTATTCTGTGATTTTTGGTATGCATATGTGAGTGGTGAAATTTTTGCGATTGAAACAATGGCAACGGCACCAAATAACAACAGCATCGAGTGAATTAAGGGCGTGTTTGTTTTGTTTGTTCGAGTTAGATAAAGAGAGAGAGCGAGACGGTGTGCTGAGTTTCACCAATCGCATTTTGATTTTTCATTTTATGTTTCACATATGATATTTCACATCTCAAGGAATGTGCCCAGATAACGCATTATTTTTACATTTATTGTATGCCAAAATTAAAGTAACAGATGATGTTACCATTTTCGATATTTTAGATAACACAGATCAAGGCATTTTGAATGTTCTTTCGAACAGCTAAGCAACACAGTCGGTTATTACATATGTTGAAGGCGAAACAGGTAAACATTGTTGAGAGTGAAGAGCAAAAAAGCACAAGCGCAAGCACAAATACACACACACACACACACACACACACACACAAGAATCATTTGCTCATTTTAGCTATGCCTATGCGAACTGCGATAACAACGTGCGGTATATTGTTGAAACCCTCAAACTAACGCGCTGACTATAGATATACCAGAGAGCGTATGTAATAAAAAAAAAGAACACATAAACCTCCCTATACATAGTTAATTTTATCACCTCAATATTGTTCGCTTTGATGACTTTCACATGAATATACCCAGCCACCAGAAGCTATAGTATTTTCGAATGAATGTGCTCTTAAGAATACTGATAATAAAAGCATTACAGTGGCCATTGAGAGAGTAACGCAGGTGTTGAGTTTTAATTGCGTGTACTCGAATTGTTTCTTCGAACACCAAATGCTTTCAACTGAACGTTTCTCATATTTTTCTTCGTTTGTTTTTTGTTTCTTCTCTTTTCTTCTTCTTCCTTCTCTCCCTCGATTATTTGCGTCTGCTTATTTTCGTTCGATGTTCAATAGTCGGTAGCGTAGTCAATAAAAGCTCGGTGCAAAGCAATGGAACCGTTACCGTTACAACCGTGCCAGTCACAACGACCAATGGCATTGGCAACGGAAACACCAACAGCAACGTGAATCGTAGCCAATCATCGAACTCAAATGCCAAAGAAAATGTGGTTGCAACTGCTCCAAACACAACAGCAACAACAACAGCAGCATCAGCAACAGCAGCAACAGCAGTAACAGTGAAAAAATCCAGGCCGAAAACATCATCACCAACACGACATGTTGGACCCCAACAATGCCAAGTAAATATCGTCACGTTTCGCAATTCTCGTTTATATGGATACGAAGTTTATTTTGAAAAATGGACTTCACGTTTAATCAATAACATCATTTATGTGTCGCACACTGGCTTTCAATAAGTTATTGTTTATAACCAATGAATGAATTTCATTTGATTATCACCCTCAGGTTTGCAGTAAAGTGTTCGGGAATGCGTCCGCGCTGGCAAAACATAAGCTTACTCATAGTGATGAACGAAAATATGTGTGTGGCATGTGTTCAAAAGCATTTAAACGACAAGACCATTTGTAAGTGTGACGCTTCAGTTTCTTTTTCCATTACACTTCTTCTAACAACCAGTAGTTATCTTCAATGTAATTTAACGTGAGCTATGGATTAGGCATAAAAATTAAACATATCGTTTACAGTGTAATGGGAGAGTCAGAGGGAGAGAGAGAGACATGTAGATACACTTATAAAATATAATGAATTACAAATCAAATATCTCACATGTATGAAAGTGTCCTTTCTCTCTCTCTCTCTCTCTCTCTCTCTCTCTCTCTCTCTCTCTCTCT